CATAATAAATTAGGGGTGAAAATTTTTAAAAAAAAAATTTTAAAATTATAATATTTAATTTGATTTAGGTAAAATTTAAATATTGAAATATATATATATTAAATTTAAATCAGATTTCAGATTATAATATAAAAAATTTAAAAAAAAGAACTCAATCGAATTATAATTTTTTTTAATTTTTATATATCTTTTCAAATTTTTATAAAATAAAAATAATAATTTTATATCAAAATTTATTTAAATATATTAGCATTTTATATTAAAATAATATATTAAAAATAAAAAATTTAAAATTTAAAAACTTATAAACCAACCTAAACATGTATAAATCAATTCGATTTGATTTAGATCAAATAAAAATTCAATTCGATTCAAGTTTAGATCAATTTTAAAATTTTATGATAGTATGTAATATTTGAAAAAATCAATTAAATTTGATTTGATCTGAATTGTTATCACTTTTATAATTTATTTAGATTTGATTTAAATAAAATTCAAAATCAATTAATTTATTGTTGAGTTGAATTCGTACTTAAATAATTTGATTTATTAAACGAGTTGAATTGAACATTTAATATTTAATTCAAATAACTCACTAGCTTACTTGAATTTTATATTTTAATATATATTTTTTATTATTTTAATTAAAAAATTATTATTTTATATTTATATCAATTTGAGTACAAATATAAAGAATAAAACTTGAAGTTAAGCATAAAAATCGAGTTTATTTTTTATTCAATAAACGAATTTAATCGAAGTAGTTCAAGCAATTCAATTTTTATTTCGAGTTAAATTTAAATTTAAAAATTAAAATTAAATTAAATTCAAATAAAAATTTAAACAATAAATTTTAAATCAAACTTAAATTTAAATTTCTTAACATATTAATAAATAAATAAAAACGCATATGAGCTTTCAAAGGGCTCCAACCTGTTTTTGAACTTTTTGTATTTATCTTTTATTTTAGTAAAAAATTAAAAATAAAATATATAATTGATTCAATTTAAATTTATCCCTTCTCTCCTCAAAGGGCAGGCATATTATTTTAGGAAAATAAAACATCAAAATTTAAATTTATCAAAAAAATAATTGAGTCAATTTTATTAATTTTCATTTTATTTATGTTTTAGAGAAGGATAAAAAGGTATTTTTCCCTTTTTGTTGGCCTCCTTTAAATTTGGGTGGTCCTGTTTTTGCTTTTATGGGTTGTGGTTATTGTTGTTGTTGATGAGATTATTGGACCATTTTAGAAGCCTTTGATGAATAAGATCAGACGGCCAAGATTCAGATGAGGTGGGCCTTTCTAATTAGTACTACCAAGGACACTTAAGTTATCTATTAAAATTTGATTGATTGATAATTTAAAATATAATATAATGATATAATATAAATTTGATATAAATAAAAAATATAAAAATGATACTATTTAAAATTTTAATAATAATTATGTATGAGCTTAACAAAATAAAAAAATATTTTATATTTTTGTGTTAATATGAATTATAACGTATAATTTTTATATAAAATATGATATAAATACATAAATTTTAATATTTCATATAACACAAATACACGAATCATTAAATCTAATTTTATGGGAGAACTGTGGAAAATTTTTAACACATAAATGCTAAAGATTGATAGTTTTTTTTTATAAAAAAAATTCAAAGATTATTCAATTTTTGAAATTAAGATAAAATATGTTATACCTGATAATTTAAAAATAATGATTAAAAATTATACATTCGAGATGATTTAAAAAAAAAATTATTAACGATACTCAAACCTAAAACTTTTATATTAAAATACATGATCTTTTATCATTTGAATATATCCCTTTTTGATAAATATAGATTTTTTTTTGTAAGAAAAATTTGAGAGTAAATAGTTCGTTTAGTCCTTTAAGTTAGAATAACATGTACTACATCAACTTAAAATAAGTGATTATAAATTATGTATTTTAGATGACTCTAATAAATAATCACCGATAAGACTTAAACCTAATATTTCTTCATCGATGAGAACAAACATATCCAATTGAACGAACCACTTTTACATTTTTGAGTTTGGTGACAACAAAATATTTTGGAGTTTGAGATGATAGCTTGTGAGATTTGTCGAAAGAGTAAAATAATTGAGATGATGGGTTTGTTAGGTTTGTCAAAAATGATAAAATAAAGAGAGCATTAAAGGTAATATTTTAATTATACGTTTCGATATTCAAATCAACGAAATCATATATAAATCATGCATGAGTGATAATAATGTAGTTAATGATGTGACAATTAAACTATCATTCAAAATGATTAAGTGATTTATTAATTTTTATTTGCATTTTATTTTGACTGCAAAACTTTTTTTTAATGTGATTTTTCAATGAATTAATAAAGTTTTTCAAAGTTTTGTGAAGTCACGAAACAGATAAATTGAGGATGTTGACAGTATTTTGTTTTGGAATGTCTTGGACCGACCACACATCATGTTTTTGGACTTTGTTCTAAAGTTTGTTTTAGTTTATATTATGAATAATTTTTAAATTATTGTAAAATATTTAATATAATATTTAAATTATAAATTTATTAATTAATATAATATTTAAAAATTTATTTATTTATCACGTATTATTATTTAAAATTAATCATTTTAAAAAATAAAATCTTAATTGATTCCATAGATGATTTGTAACTAATAATGAACCAAAAGTGGACCACAAGATTCTTTTTTATTGAATTATTGTCTCATCCTTTTTTATTATCTAGATTTTAGTGGTTGCATTGGGTAATTTCAAAGATATGTATTTGGTTAAATTGTCAATTTCACACCCTCTATAAAATAAAATAAAAAAATACAAACTTTTGAATGATTTAATTTTGATAATTTTAAATATAATATGTTGATACGAAACTATAGGATAATGAAATTAATTCCATTAGTTGGTCCAATGTTAAATTGATATTGTCTGGAATTGACAATGATATGAATTATTACATTGTGTATGTTTCTTTGCCTTTCTCATATCTTATTCTCTGAGTCTAAGACACACAATCATTGAAGTGTACGAAAAAGTAGTGCACTCCGATCATTTATTTTTGTAATTGTAAAACATCGAGTGTTCCTTTGCTTCGTGCGCCATTATTACGGTTGAATCTTTTAAAAGTTTAGTGAATAAAATAGTACGTATGCGTTAGATTTAATAATTTTAAATATAATATAATAATATGATAAAAATAATATAAATAAAAATATAAAAATAATATAATTTAAAATTTTCATAAAAATTATAAATAAATTTAATAAAATTAAAAAATATATTTTATATTTTTATATTAATATAAATTATAATATATAATTTTTACATAAAATATGATATAAATATATAAAATTTTAATATTTCGTACGACACGATGAATTACCAAGTTATTATATATTACGATTGGATCTTTAAAAATTCAAAGAATAAAATGATATATACAGCACGGAATAAAATGGCATGCATGATTCAGCGAAGGTTCTTCTGTCGCTCGTCCAAATGAAGTTTGAATTGGATAGAAAGTAAGAGACATCTAAAAATCAATGTCCCTTTCATTACGAGGTTATCCAGCAAAAGTTTTTTTTATTTGTTCTGACATTTGTTCCATAATTTATCTACTTCTATTACTAAAGAATGACTAAACACTCTACCAACCATTCATTTTATATATATTCTGACACAGAATCATCAAGTTAGACCAAGTGCCACTAATCTTTGGCAAATATCAAATCTTGGTATTTTGTGTTTTCTATGTTGATATAAATTTTAATATATAATTATTATATAAAATATGTAATAAATATATGAATTATTAGTATTTTATATGAAATGAATACATGAAATTAAATATGGAAAGAAAAGAAATTGCATTTAATGAATAATTGAATATGGAAAAGAATTGAAAGGTGAATAAAGTTTTTTTTTTTTTTTACATCCTTTGGTAAATTTTAGTTTTTTTTTTTTCTTTCTCTAAATTTTTTTGGATATGAAATTGGAAAGGTCATTAATTTTTGTTGCCTTTTAAGTACTTTTCATGAATTTTATTTTGATTAATACTCTTGTTTATGAAAAATTATATATTTTTTGTTCACAAAAAATTACTTTTTTTGGTGAAAACTTAATATTATTTCACAAAAGGAAACAAATCTCAATATCAAATAACTTTGATCAAATCAAAATGAAATTGGACCAAGATAACAAACCCCCCCCCAAAAAAAAAAAAGGGAAACAATCAAATCTTTCTCCATCTCTTTGCCCTTCTGGTCTTTTTTTTGTTAAGATTTATCCCTTCATAGAAAAAAAATCATGTAAATATCTGTTTTTTACCGTTAACATATATGAATAAATGGTTTGAATATATCACATTCCTTAAATTTTGCATATTTGGAAGAATTGAAAAAGGGTGCAAATTTCACTGTTTTTGTATAAAAAAATTATCATATTCCTGAGGATGTCTAGAAATATATACAAACTTAAAACAATTTGATTTCATTAGATCAAAACTCCCATTTTTTTCATTTAATAATAATAAAAGAATTCATTACATCATGTTCATGAACTCTAGCTAGCAAACAGGTTTTGTCTTTGATCGAAATGTTTCACAAGACCACCATAGTTTGGCCTGTGAACCAATCTGATAGTATCATAGTTTCCCAGATTGTAAAATTATTTGCCTTAAAAGAATCCATCTGAAAAAAGAAGTCTAGTTTTGGTTTCTTTGTCAACTCGTTGGCTAATTATGGCAGGTAAATGTGCTTGATCCAGGCTAAAGCAAGAATGTAGACAGTAATTCAGGCTGATACATTAATTGTATTAGCTGTAAACAACTAAGCATTTCAAGAATATGAAAAAGGAAAACTTGCTTATAAAACAGGCTGGTAGGCTGTAGTTGCAGAATTGCTACACCATTGGCGAAGTTTGTTATTGGTTTTGTTTCATTTTGTGAAAAAGTTAAGGCTGTCTGGCAATGGCAGCAGTGGGGAAAGAGGTTCTTCCTCAATCTCAACGTGGAATCAATCGAAAAGGTAAAATCACTCTCTATGTGATGATCAAACACTATAGGTTATGACTAAATGATGGAAATATTGTTTGATTGTTTATCAGAAGATGAAGAAGTGAATGACAACCCTATCGAGGAAGTGAGATTGACAGTACCAATCACAGATGACCCAACAGAAGTAGCCTTGACAGTTCGAACTTGGTTTCTTGGGCTGCTATCTTGTTGCATTCTTGCGTTTGTGAACGACTTCTTTAGCTACCGGACTAATCAACTCTATATCAGTTCAGTTTCCGCGCAAATCATTGTGTTACCTCTAGGGAGGTTAATGGCTGCAACCCTTCCTGACACAAAAATTACAGTCCCATTCACCAAGTGGTCGTTCTCTTTGAATCCGGGACCATTCTCTATGAAAGAACATGTGCTGATTACCATCCTTGCTAGCTGCGGATCAGGTTCGGTTTATGCAACACATATTATCACCATTGTCAAAGCCTTTTACCACAGAGGACTCCATCCACTTGCAGCCTTATTGCTAGCACAAACTACTCAGGTACCATGTCAACTGCTTGATTTCATTCAAGGAAACTCATTATACGTAAACCCTGATATTTCCTCCTATTTAATAATATTCAGCTGCTTGGATATGGATGGGCTGGTTTGTTCAGAAAGTACCTGGTTGATTCCCCTTACATGTGGTGGCCATCGAACCTAGTCCAAGTCTCATTGTTCAGGTACTTCACATCGTCATGACTTCCATAGAAAAGATATTGGTGTTCTTCTTTATGTTGAACAACTTACAAATTACACTGCAGGGCATTGAATGAGAAAGAAAAGAGACCAAAGGGAAGACTTTCCAGGCTACAATTCTTCATCATCGTTTTCATATCTAGCTTCAGTTACTATGTTATTCCAGGCTACCTTTTCCCATCAATATCAGCCCTCTCTTTTGTTTGCTGGATATGGAAGGATTCAATAACTGCCCAACAGATTGGTTCAGGTTTAAATGGCTTTGGCATTGGCTCTTTTGGTCTTGACTGGTCTACTGTTGCTTTCCTTGGGAGTCCTCTTCCCACACCATTATTTTCCATTGTCAATACCTTAGTTGGGTTTTTCTTGGTTTTCTATATTCTTATTCCCATTGCTTACTGGATGAATGTATTCCAAGCTAGACGATTTCCTTTGATCACTTCATCGACTTATGATGCTGCTGGCAATATCTACAACATTACTAGAATTCTCAACGATAAGACATTCGACATCAACCTGGATAGCTATGATAATTATAGCAAACTCTATATGAGTGCTGTGTTTGCCATCACTTATGGATTGAGCTTTGCAACTCTAATGGCTAGCATTTCACATGTCGCCCTGTTTGAGGGAAAGTAAGCTTCCCTACTCTACTTTTTCTTCCTTGTTGATATTTTTTTCCAGTGACGATTCAGGATTTTTTTCGAGCCTGTCCACTTATAATATATATAAAACTGTCGGGTTCCTTCAAATTTCCTTGATTTTAATTTATTGTTTTCTTGAAAAAATGAAAAGGACAATTTGGACATTGTGGAGAAAGGCAAAATCTGCAGCAAAGGAGAAATTTAGCGATGTACACACAAGATTGATGAAGAAGAACTATGAGGCAGTCCCTGATTGGTGGTTTTATGTTATCTTAATTTCAACTTTGGCCCTTTCCCTTCTTGCCTGTGAAGGTTTTGGCAAACAGCTGCAGCTCCCATGGTGGGGGCTTTTGCTAGCTTGTACCATTGCACTATTTTTCACCTTACCTGTTGGCATAATTCAAGCCACAACGAACACGGTATGGTTATTTTGAACAAAAACATAAATAAGAAACAAAAAGTAGCAAGCCTTCCATTGATTATACTATTAATTATATTTTCTGTTGTGCAGCAACCGGGCCTGAATGTGATCACCGAGTTGATTATCGGGTATTTGTACCCTGGAAAGCCCCTTGCTAATGTTTCTTTCAAGACCTATGGCTACATTAGTATGGCTCAAGCTCTTAGCTTGACTCAGGACCTCAAATTAGGTCTCTACATGAAGATCCCACCCAAATCAATGTTCATTGCTCAGGTAATTATAAAGTATATATATTTTTTTAATGTAAGAGGCCGTGGTCTGAGAATGAAGAAATGAGTTACATATGTTGAGATTCTAGCTCTAAATTTACTAGTTGCTCCTCTTAAAAGTATCTATTGTATGAAACAACTAAGTTAAATTTTGGATTCAATTATCGATTATATTTGATAAACATTGAGCTACTTTGAATTTTGATATGTTACTAACCTACATTTTTATTATGCTACATTGATCAGCTAGTAGGAACTATAGTTGCTTCATGTTGCTACTTTGGGACAACATGGTGGCTTCTGTCAACTGTAGATAATATTTGTCTTCCAGATTTGTTGCCAACAGGGAGCCCATGGACATGTCCTGGAGACAACGTTTTTTACAATGCTTCAATCATATGGGGAGTTGTAGGCCCACTCAGAATGTTCACAAGTCTAGGCAACTACCCACAGTTGAACTGGTTCTTTCTCATTGGTTTTCTTGCTCCTTTCCCTGTATGGTTGCTGTCAATCAAATACCCAGAGAAAAAATGGATCAAGCTCATTCATATGCCTCTTCTCATTTCTGGTGCAAGCGCCTTGCCATCAGCTAAAGCTGTGCACTACATTTGCTGGGGAGTTGTTGGAATTTTCTTCAATTGGTTTATCTACAAAAGGCACAAAGGATGGTGGGCTAGACACACTTATGTCCTGTCAGCTGCCTTGGATGCTGGGGTTGGGTTTATGGGATTACTCATATTCTTTGTCCTGCAATCCTTTGATAATTCTTATGGCCCAGATTGGTGGGGTTTGGAGGCTAGTGACCATTGTCCATTGGCACATTGCCCTACAGCACCAGGGGTTGTGGCTAAAGGATGTCCAGTTCTTTGAATTAGTCCTTGTTAATCTTGTTGGGAATAAGATGAATGTGAAAAGAAAAAACCAAATTATTAATGTCTCTGATTATGAAAGACTGAATGTCCATTATGAAGTTTCAATGTTGTTTAACATCTTTTATCTTTATATATCTCAACTTTTTTTTTTTTTTGGTAAAATTATAAGTATGCGAAAAGTTATAATCATAATCAAATATGACATTCATAATTAAGAAATCATTAAACCAACCAATAAATCATAATATACAATTGAATCAAACTCACATACGATGGGATTTAAATTTGGAATCTAAGGGTTCTAGAGCTTTTTCTTTACTACTAAATCAAGGTCTCGTTGATTGTATCACAGCTTTTTTCAATTGAATTCTTGAAACATTTCATTTAGGGCTAGTTTAGTATTGCTATTGCTGTTGACAAAAGTTTGGATTGAAAAAAGTTTGTTTAAAAAGTGTAATAAGAAAAGTTTAGTTAAAAATTTTAAGTGTTTAACACTGCAGTAAAAAAAATATTGTGAGTAAGTGAAACATATAAAAAAAATAAAAGCACCTATTAAATAGCTTTTTAGTTTAGGTTGCAAAACCAAACTTTTAAACTGAAAAACCATATGCAATTTTGTTATTTAGCATTATGGTTAAATCAAAAGCAGGTTTTTAAAGGGAAAATTATTTTTAACAGCAATGCTAAACTAGGCCTCATGATGGTAATGATGATTTGTTTTCTAAGATGAAAAAGAAATGAAAAATTGCATGGTCCTCTGATTTTCATATGAATGAAGTAAAGTGAGTTTGAAACATATTGGATTTAGATTCAATACTAAAAGGTGGAATAATGATTTGGTTAGACTTTTACTTCAAAAGTAATTCAAATAGACCATAATTTTATAAGAAATAATTCTATTAGAAATAAAAATAGCAAGAGATAAACAAAAAATTATTAGATATACATGAAATTTGTGGATTTCAAATTGTGAAATTATTGGAGTTTGTAATTTGATGTCATAAAATTTTTTAATTTAAAAGTTGTAAATGTATAATTGTTATTAAATTTAGGAAATTGGTATGAAACTATATAGGAGTTTGTGAAATCTGCATAAAATTTGTGAATTTCAAGTTATTTTTAATGTTTTAATTATTATCTTTTATCTTTGCAGGTTGGTGATGATAGGCTGCTTCACTTGACAGGTTTCTTTTTGTACATTAAGTAGCTAGTGAAATTACTTTGTAATTTTTTTTAAGGAATAGAAAGATTAGAATGATCTTTTAAGTTTTTAAACTAGTGATTAAAGACGCTCGAAAAAATATTAAAGATTTAGTTCGAAACTAACCTTATCTTCTTCTCCTTATTTGTAATAAAATTTTGTTATTCTAATGTAATAATAATAAAAAAAGTTAGAATGAGTTTCTTGGAGCATTTTATTTTTATTTTTAAGTATTTCTTTTCATCAAATTATTGATTTTTCACTCAATTATTCACATTTTCATATTTCCTATTTGTCATTTATTTATTTATTTTTTACTCCATTCTATCCATCACATAGTTTTGTTGGTTAAATCTTTTATAGCAATTTTTTTTTTTAATAACTAATTGTTCTGGCTACTAATAGAAATGAGCCATCAATATTAAATATATCTTTAAAAAATTAAATATATTAAACTCTATTAATATATCAATATGTTATAAAATACATGTTAATGTCATGAATAGGCATCCAATTATCAAAAAAATAGTAAGAATCTTGAGTTTGACCTAATTATTTAACATATTTTAATTGATAAATAATTTTTTTATTAAATTGTTTATATTCCTTTAAAAAATAAAAGAGAAATACTCATTATAGCAAATCCATAATATCCATCATACTATAATCATGTAATTATGAAAAGATTACCTATTAAAAAATAAAACTACAAATAAATATTATAAAATATATATATATTTGAATTTTTTAAGGTATTCATAATTCAATTTTAATAAAAATTGATTTAATTTGATTAATTGATCAGTCACATAATTAATTTTAGTTGGTTAATGAAAATAATTTTAAAAAAAATTTAGATTTTCAATTAATTCGATTAAAAAATAAAATTAACCAAAATTTTAATCAAAATACATAAAATAGATTATTTTATTTCAAAATCATTAAAATTTTTAATATAATACTTTTACATTTAAATATTTTATTGAATAATTTTATTTAATTTTTTTAAAATATTTGAAATTAATAGCTTAAAAATTAATTTAATTTAAATATATTTATTATTTGATTAATCAAAAAAATTAATCGATTTAATTAAATTAAAATTGATAGGTTAATTTTAAAAATTAATAAATCCAATTATATAAATAAAAATAAAATAATTTAATTTAATTAATTTAATTTTAAATAATTCAATTTAAAATTAAATGAACCGAAAAAATACCTCTAATTTCTTCTCATTTCCCCACTTTCGAACAATTAGCGCTTTTCTTCTCTTCCTCTCAGCATTCATCAAATTCAAATATATATAAAAAAAAAAAATTACATACTACATGTTTTTTTCAGTGTTGTTATTGTATTATGTCCTAGTTATTATAAATATAAATACATTACACATTTTCTCTCTGCTTTTTCTTCCCATTTGTTTTGCACTCTACTCTTTTCGTTCTTTGCTACCATGAGCAGCAAAGGTGGAGGCGGCAGCGGAGGTGGCGCTGACGGGTCAGGGGCTACGATCCTGTACAATGCAAAGAAAACAATCCAAAGCATAAGGGAGATCACGGGGAAACAACAAAGCGATGAAGAAATCTATACAGTCCTCAAGGAGTGCTCTATGGATCCTAATGAAACTGCCCAAAAGCTTCTTTATCTGGGTATAAATGAAGATTTAAAAATTTCTTTTGAGGGCTTGTTGGGGTTATGATCTGTTTTTTTCTGTGTGGGTTTTGTGTTGAAAGAGTGAAGAAAGTTGGGATTTTTTGAGAGGTGTGGTTTTAGCGCTTTTTTATGTTTTTGCTAATGGAAACTGGATTGTGCATCATTTGGTTTGTTGGTTTCGTATTTTGTGTTGGAATATTGAAGAAAGTTGGGATTTTGAGAGGTGGGTTTGGCTTGTTTTTGTGTGTTTTGCTAATGGAAAGTGAAGTTTGCACTGTTTGGTCTTTTGGTTTTGTTTTTCTAAGGATGTTGTTTGGCTTCTGGGAAATGGGAGTAGATTAAAGAAATTATATATATTTGATAACCTGCGTGCTTTGTTTTGATTTATCAGCTATAGCAGTCTGCCAATATCTTTGTTTTTCTTTTCAATCTTTATCTGGTTGATTGGAGGTTTTAATAATTAAGTTTTACCATCATAATTTGATAATCTAGTTTAAAGTAACAAATCAATATTCTAAAAGTCGAAGTTTTAATTTTTAATCCTTGCTTTGGTCGCATATGATAGATAAAATTTTCCTTTAGTAAAAAATCTATGTGATTATAATTTAAATGCATGCAAATATGTGAAAAGGACATTGCTGGTAAGTAGCATTTCTTTTTGGTTCCATTGAAGAATGCTTCCTGGATTGACATACTGTGATTAGCTTTCTTTGGGGATTTTCAAATTGCATTAATTTTAATCTTTTTTTTTGCTTAATGTATCTTATGGTTTACTCTTTGAAAGTATGACCATCAATTGTTTGGTTGGCAGATACGTTTCATGAGGTGAAAAGAAAACGCAATAGGAAAAAGGAGGCAAGCGTTCTTTTCCTTTCCAACTGATGAAATTAAAATTTGTCTTCATTTTGATCTTCTATTCTTTCCACCTGCAGTTAGAATTTTGGTTATCAATGAATCTATTGGTTATATAGGACTGTGGTCTATTAGACGTTTGCTTTGTAACAATTATGCTAGTTGCAAAATAAGAAATAAAAAAAAAAATGCTGAACTGCTGTAATGTGTCAGAGTTTTACTTACTAGAATTTGGTTTAGTTGAAAGATTTTTTTGGTTGGATTTAGTTAGCTTAGTGAAATGTGAATTATAACTCAATTCTTTTTTTATGCAGACAGATGGTGCACGTGGACGAGGGGGCTGGGGCAGTCGAGGGAACTATTACACATCATCTCGAAAAGGTATTAGTTTTTTTTTCTCTTCTATTTATGCATCAATGTATGAATTTAACTTATTTGTTTTTTGGTAAGTTGCTAATGTAAGAAGCCTTGTTCTGTTAAGATGCTGGAGGTGGAAGGAATGCATCTGCTCGAAGGGAGAATGGAGTTAATCATACCTCAGATAGAGGTTCTATGCCTTTGCCAGTATCTCAGAAAGTGAAAAATAATGCAGCATCTCACACGATAAAGTAAATATGCATAATGATATTAGTTTTTGCATCTAAATATGACTTTTATGCAGTTATTATTTGGTTAATTCTAGAGAAAAATGTTTTATCAAACCTAAATATTGTTTTGTTATTTTATAGAACACCAACTTCTATACCAAATGGCACTACGACTTTACCAAATGGGAGCTCCTGTCATGGATGTGGACCCCAATTGTCTGTTGACGGTGTTAATAGTGAAACTAAAGATATCTTATCTGCAATCAAGTCAACAACTTTTTCAGGGCAACCAGCTGTTATAGAACCACCTGCCCCCATTCCTGCTCGGTCCTTTGCCTCTCTGATCAGAGGTCAAGAGAGGTCCACATCAAATTCTAATGCCTCATCAACTTCTGCCACTTCTTCATCGGTGGCTGGTGTCTATTCATCTGCTTCAGATACTGTGTTGGTGCCAACTGTGTTGCGGCATGCTGGTGCTCTGGGTACAATAAAACATGGAATTGGATGCCAACGGGAAGCTGCTGAAATAAATCATACTCGAGTATACAAACATGTTCCCCTTCATATTGATGTATCTGAGACTGAGAAAACAGTCTCTGAGGTTCCAAGCTCAATGCATGGAAATAAGGCCCCCAGCAAATCAAAGGTTGCCGAACAGGTTAAGCAGTCCAAGCCTATAGAGCCTGCCATGCTACAAGGTATTACCTCTTTTGTTTAATTTGTGATACCGTAAAATACGGTAGTTTCTAGTGGTTTATGTGATATTTATGTTGTTTTTAGTCTGTCCTCTTTTCCTCCTTTTGATGTACAATAATGTAATTTTGAAATGCTCGTGTAGGAGGCCTATGTTTTTAGTCTTTTCTCTTTGGCAGTGGGTAGGTATAGTATCTGAGGTGTTTGGCTATGCCGTTCTTCTGTTTCCCTACCGTGGGTGAAAGGGTAAAAGATCCCTTTGGAAAATCCTGCTTGATTCTTTGTAATTTGCTTTGTATTGCTAGCTGTGGCTGGATTTTGCACCCATTGTTGTGCTTTAGACTGCCTTTTTCAATTTTTTTACTTCTGTTTTAATAATAATAAAGTGCTTATTGTAAGCAAAGTGTTGCTAAGTCATTAATTTATTGTTCTATAATGAACCCTGCTTTTGAAGTGTCCCTTACCTAGATATTGATATAGAAAATCTTATACTTTAAGGTTGTCTTTCTACACCTTTTGGTGGTTTTTTTAATGGATATTTCACTTGGCTCTTGTTTCTTAAACAGTGGTCACATCTGAGGTTGCAGCTGTCACTGTTAAAGCCAATTCCCAATTGCTTGCTGATTCAAATGTTCCCAATGGTCAACATGTTAATTTTCCTACCCACTTCCAAGTCTCTGAAGTGTTGAACAATGGCTTAACTTTTGGAAGCTTTGATGCTAGTTTTGGACAGGGAACGGATCACGACAATGTCACTATTGTGGAGATTAACTCTGCTTGCCCTATTGAAACTTCTCAGGGTAGTGATGATGCTGCTGGAGAGCCATCTTCTAGGTTGGTGGTCTTTAGTTTCTACATGTATTAGAATTTATGTTTTGTTTGATGTATTGTTTTTCTTCTGCTAGAAAGTATCTAGTGATTCCAAAATTGTTTTATTCATCTCAACAATTAGTTTTGAGGTGTTGGTGGTATGTTAGTTCTCGATTCTTCTTTAGTTGATTAAAACAATTACATGACCATGTGGTAACTGATAATGGAGCCCCGATGTTTTGCCATTCAGCTGTTTTAAAAGAATCAAAAAGAATAATTTTCTGTTGTATCTTCTGGTGGGATTACTGAGGAAAAACATTTTAGATGCTCCTAATTTGCTATCAATATATAATGCTAGAGTGTTGGGGAGCTCCAAACAATATTTCTAGTTATCTATTTTGTTTCTTAATATTTTAGATCTTATCGGGCCTTTATGATTTCTACAGAAGCCAAGGTATATTATCAGCCGTGGAAGGGGATAATGCTGGTCAACTACAATCTCTTCCTGAGCTTGAGAAAGTGCCAGAATCAGATGGTGATATTTCACCTGATGCAGACTTGAAAATTGATCAGTCAAATCAAGAAATGCATTTACACCCAGAAGGTAATCAGAGTGTCATTTCAAATGTCCCAAGCTATGGGTTTGGTTTCATTCCAGCATCAGCAAGCTACCTTGCACAGTTTGATGGACCTGAGGCTCGGACACATGATGTTTCTCGCCTTACAAACTTTGCTGTAAGCACTTGTTTCTTCCTCATAACTGTCTATTTTTTGATTAATTGGTTGCAGAACTCCACTGTGATTCTAACAATTCTAAACTCCCTTGCATCTCCTCAGGCAGCTTAAAGTGTTCTTTTTAGAAAATCGTTTTACTACTTGGCATTTTTATTTTTTGTATTTTCTTCCGTCTACAGTTTTTTATAGTTCATCATTCTTAATTACCGTGGAATATGACAAGAAAAAGTTATCATAAACTCCTGTGAACTACAGAAAATTAACTTGTATTGTTTTTCTTTTTTCGTAGTGACATCTTTTTACTATTATAATTACGTGCTTCTTGGACTTGATTTGCTAAATTTGTAGACTGGGAATTCTCCAGCTCCATCTGGCAGTTCAAAACCCCCTGTTCAGAGCTCTGTTGCTGCAGCCCCACAAGCAGTTCACCTTTTCCGGCAGCCATTTCCACCTAATTACTTTCCTTATCCCCAATATCTTCCACCTTTTTATATGCATGCAATGCATCAATTTTTAAGCCCGACTGCACTGCCTGAGCAATCTTCAACTGGCAACGTATACATGCCACCTGGAGCAGCTGCACCTGGGGTCAAATTCCCTCTTCCACAGTTCAAGCCAGCGACTAATGCAGGAAATCCTTCTCACCTAGCAATTCCATCTGGCTATGGTACATTAGCATCTCCACCTGTTGGTGTTAATTTATCTGTTCCATCTGTGACCTCTGGAAGCTCTGCTAGTAAGGAGGATCTTGCAGCATCGCAGTCGAAGGAAAATCGTATATACACAACTGTGTCACTGGTTGGTTTGCTTTCCTTTTACGTTTATACTTTTCCCAACCATTTTCTATCGAACGCGTTTTACCATAATATATTATATGACCATAGTTATGGGGTTTTCCTTTTAGCTTATATGCATATGGTATTTATCTATTAGCAACTATTAAGTTGATTTTAACACAATGTTCTGGATTTATTTTTGGTTGCAGAATGAAGGTTCAGCTCTCTGGATGCATGCACCAGGGCAAGATTTATCCAACTTGCAGGTTAATTCTTTGTACAACCTCTCTCTTCATGGCCAACAGGTTCCTTTCTCTCCTGTTCAGGCTGGTCATGGTTCCTTTGCTGGACTTTATCAGCCACCACAAACAATGGCTGCTCCTTCCAATGTTAATACCCTGCTACAACACTCTCAAGCCATGGCTGCTGCTGTCGAAACTGTGGCTCCCCTAACTAGTGCTTATCAACGGCCTCAGCTTGCACAGATAAATTGGAACACTAATTACTGAACTGTTAAAATCGCATCACGATGCAACATAGAACGACATGGAGGAACTTTTCGGGAGGGCAAAACTCTGGCCTGCTTCTTGTGTGTAAATATTAAAGGCAGATCACATATACAAGGGTAATGTCTGGTGAGGAAATATGTTGCTTACTTCTTTTACCTTTTTACTTGCCATCTTTTTCCCCCGTTTCTTTGGGTGTTGTCCTTGGTAGCATACTTTTCCACTTTTACAATTGGAACTAATTATTCGCATAAGATACTCTATAGGAACTGAAGAGGTCAATAGATTTGGTGGGATTTTGCCGATTTTTCCTTTCTAATGTCTCACCTGTAAATTAGATTTTGAACAGGGAGGAAAGATGATACAAGCTGTAACTGGAATATGAGAAGGTTCTTCTAGTTTCTTTAATTGGCTCATGGTCATATTTGAGTGAAAAGCTACATGGTTATTATCAGGTTCTACTCATTTGTTCTACCTCCATTTCCTCCTTACACTTGATTATCTTATGCACTAAATGATTGGTTCTTGTGTTAAGTGAGATATATGGTTTACTCGTCAACAAGTTTCAAGAGTTTGGGATTGTCAGGTGATATTTATATAAGGTAAACCCCATATACGCTTCTTGTGGTTTGTGACATTCACTTACACGTCTGTGAAATTTTTTTTTTTTCACTTATAACTTTATGGTTCATTTCCGATACTAGGAGGGGCAATGGCGTCGAAAATAAGGGTGAGGGTAATTTTATAATTTCATTAAAATTTAGTTGATTTTTGATGCTGTTATAATAGGAGTGAACTATAAGAGGGAAAATTTTTTCATACGAGGAGTAGAGTGAGAAAGTTGTGAACCACGGGAGATGAATGGATTGGGTAGAATGGATTATAAAAATGCTCATTTATCCAAAAAACAAGAGTCTTGGGCTCAATCTAACCTATCTTATCTCCCATCTGGAAGGATTTACCTAACCACACAAATGAAGCAACTCAAATATTTCGTGGGAAATTCATATTTATAAGCACTGAAAAAAACAAATCAATGAATCATACATACGACAATATTCATTTCATGGGAAAATAATTCTAAACTTTTGTCAGTCTAAGCTCGTCAAATATTTCCTGTGAATTTCATTTTCAAAAACTATTCAGACTCTGTCGTTTTGGAGGAAATGGCAAACGTAGTTTTTAGTTTGACCCAATTACAACTTTAGTCTCTAGTAAGGGTATAAACGAATAGAATTTCGAGAATAGAATTTCGAAAAATTATCGTTAATATATTTGATTTTTGTTTGGTTGTTAAATTTTAATAAATGATCTTAAATATAAATTGATTATAAACATATGTTTGTTTGATTTGTTTATATTTATGAACAAATTAGTTTAAAATTTATTCATTTATTATTCGTTTGTTATTCATTTATAATAATAATAATAAAATTTTATTTTTATCTTTTATTTTAAAGTTCGTTTAAACTCGGTTGACTTTATTTATATTAATTTAAGATTTTGTTTAAATATATTTGATTATGATTTATTTATTATTTATAAATATTTTCGTTTATATATATTTATGAACATATTTATTTAATATTTACAAATATAATCATCTAATATAATTGAATCGAATACAAATCGAATGTAAATATTTTATCACTTAAACTAATCGAACTTAAATGAATAAAGTAATTTTTTTATCGAATATGAATTGAGTCTAAATTTCTTAAAAAATAAATGAATAAATTATAAATATATATTTATTCGTTCATATTCGATCCGTTCACAGCTATTATAACTTATATATTTAATTAGTTTTTGTAAATTTGGTTGTAAAGTTTTAAAATTTTTTATTGATTTATTATTCTTATTATTATTGAAAATTATAATTTTCTATAGACTACTATTACAATTGCTTTCAAGTTTTCATTGAAAAACAAAATTTTAGCTATGATGGGTTCACTAAATTATAGAGGATGTTGTTTTGTTTGCAACATGCCATGGCTGTAGGCTTCTGTTGAATGAGCAATACTCTCGAGACCAGTTGTATGAATGTCAAACCAAAGGTGGCTGTCGGACTCCGCAGAATTCACCTTTATTTGACAGTGTTAACCTTATTCTTTTCGACTTCGACCCGATTTCATAAAATATATATTTTATTTTGATTTGATATTAAAATATTATATTTTAATATTGATTCGATCAACTTGCATACGTATAAAAATGTAATAGATCGGACCAAATTTGTCTATGAATAAAATTGTATTGATTTAATTTAAAATTAATTTAATAATTGTAATTTGATATAATATTTATAAAATATTTTTAATATAAATTATATTTTAATTATATATAAATATAATATTCTTATTATTAATATATAAAATTAAAATATTAAATAATAATTTTATTAATTTAAGGAAAAAAAAAAGGCTATAAGTTCGAGTCAAAAACCAATCGATTTGGATATATTTGCCATCCCTATTGACGGTGGCTTGCAAGAAGTATGGGTTTTACTTGCCATGGCACTTGGCTACCAGCCTACCATTTGTGTACTTACTCTTACCTTCGCATTACTGCATGGCATGTTTGTGCATATTCTACATTGCTGATAAGTACATGTAACAAGATAACTGGAGACAGATGTTTGAGGGGCTTTGAATTACTCCCTGTATTCTTTTGTGTTCCAAGCTTTTTGATCAACAAAAGAACAGGAAAGGAATCCTGGAACTTGGATTTGAGAATGGGAAAGGGATCTAATATAATCTTGTCATTCAATTTTCACCTGGAATCCTTGGGTCCTTGGTTAAGGGATTTCTTGTCATTAAAAAGGAATGGAAAAGTGTTGACGGTTTTTGAGTTCCTGACCAAAAGTTTATTGGATGGCTGGTTGGTAACTCGAGCGACCTACGGCAAAAAGAATGGTAGGAATCAAAGGTAAGATTTCAAGATACTTTTCAACGTTCAAAGCAATAAAATACATTAAAAAAATGGTTTAAAATAAAATGTATGTACTTGCTACGTACCTTACTTTTTTTATAAATTTGTTTTGACGGATTGGACGACCAGAGCAAAACCAAAAGAAAGGAATATCATTCAGAGAAGTTCAATCATTGAAAAGTTTGGTTCAATTGGTAAAATATATTTTTTTTTTGAATTCGAGTTTAATCTATAATTATTTATTAGAGTTATTTTGCATGTATTATTTTTAATTATTTATTTAAAACTATCATATATAATATATTATTTAATATAAAAAATTAAATAATCTATCTCTATCAAATTTTTCATTTAAAAAAAAAGTCTCATGCATATGCAATGTAATTTCCTTAGATTGTGGAGCAAAATTAGGAAATATTATAGTAATAATCATGGAACCATAGGTGTTGTGGATGTCTGCCACAGAGCCTTCTATAAGATCTGATGGCTCGAAACCATTAGTTTAATTTACAGATAGATGACCTCACTTCATTGGACCACACTGAAATGTGGGGAACAAGGAGGATAAGAACAAACTGGAAAACAACAATCATGTGGATTTCCTAGCATTACTGGCTCTCAACCAACTGCCCGTATATTTCTACTGGTCTCAAATACATGCAGGTGGATTAGATTCCCCTCCCTGGCTATTTTAACTCTACTTTTTGCTTGAAAAAAATGAGAATCTTAAGAGCCGACCTGATTCATTAAGATAAAATCCATTTAAATCTTCACATGAACTTACAATCTTTAATTAAGAAGTTAGATCTAAATCTGTTAAATGCAAACTGTTATTTGTATAAATTAATTAAGTTAATTAAAATATAATTATTTATATAAATCCGTGTTGATAGAGAAAATTCATTTTTATTTGCAAACAAAAGATGTGCTTGTGTTATAATAATCTATAATCATGAAACATCTTGAAAATAATAACCCATTTTTCTTCTTGCTTAGGAAAATGATAATCGACCTTTTTAATCTTCTAACAAAGGCAGTAAGGAGGAGAAAGTACGGAAGAAGTTAGATTTGGACATAAATTTGATAATTCGTGTATTAATATTATATAAAAAATAAAAAATAAATATTTATTTTTTATATAAAAATTATTTATCATAATTTATATTCATATAAATTTATTAAAATATATTTATTTAATTAATAAAATTTATATATAATAATTATTATATTTTAAAATTTGTCACTTTCAAATTTTATTTTTCACTCCGATTCATTTTTATCACCATATTACATTTTAGATTTGAGATCTATTTGGACTATTGCAAGATTGCGATTACAAGTAATAAAAGTTCAACTGTAAAGCAATATAAAAACCTTTGTGAAATGTAGTTTTGACATATAAATGCATTCACACCAAGCCCTGCAATCATTCATGGAACCGAAATGGAGTTGGAGCAAAAAAGTCACTAACACCAAGAAAAGCTGCCAGCCAATCTCTTACCATTCATCAACAGAATAAAATTCTGTTATCTATCTCTGTTGCTTCTGTGTCGGTTTTTTATTGGTCATTGTCATTCTATTTTTCCTTCTAAAAGAACTTTCTTTTATCTTTCCTTTGTGCAAAGACTTGATCTGTCTGTGTACAAAACTGTCCTGGAAATGGAGTTAGTTCCATATTCAAGTGAACCAGAACCGAAAACAAGTTCCACAACTCTTCCATGGCAAGACATGTTCCGATCTGCATCGACAAGGAAGCCTTCCCCAGCACCAGGCAACTGCGACGCGCCTCCAAACCAACCCCACGCGCCAAACTCCACCAACCCAGATCACATAAACAGCCTCTCAGGTGATCCCCAGGTACGGTTGGCTGTTTACATAGCCATGGCTCATGCTGGTCTTGCCTTTACCATATTCATTTTATATGGAATTTGCAAGCTTTTGCAAGAGTATCTTAGGCCAATTCAGTGGGCAATCTTGTGTTCAATTCCCTTGAGAGCTATACAAGAGACCCTTGTGGGATTTTGGAGTGAACCTTTGAAACTAGGCCTCACTGAAACTGTTCTTGCTGTTCCTGTGGCTATCTTTAAGGCTTTTATAGGTACCCTTGTTGATATTCAGAATGTTTGTTTGAGGATTTTTCTTAAAAGACCAAAATCTACTCTTTCAAGGCGTCATAGAAGTGGGTTTTCAAAGCTAGTTCGGTGGCTAGTGTCATTTGCTGTGTTTGTGATTGCCTATGAGAGAATTGGTGGCTATGGGTCATTGGTAATAATTGTGTTGGGGTTCATGATTAGTACTAAAAATGTAGATAATACAATGTATGCTGTTTCATCATTTAGGAGTTCTAGTTTCAAAAGAAGTGCAATTAGTGCATATTTCACGCGTGGGATATTGAAAAGGCTGAATACTATTGTAGCTATTGGGCTGATAATTGGTATGATTGTGGGGTTTTTTGCTGGAGCAACATATTTCTCATACAAGATTGGTGTTGAGGGAAAAGATGCTGTGATTTCAGTGAAAGCTCATGTGGAAGAGAGCAATTATGCTGAGAGGATTGGTGTTAAAAAATGGATGGAAGAGAATGATGTCCCTGGAATGGTGGATCAGTACACTGCACAGTTTTACGAAACAGTGTCAGGGCAGATCGATAGTTTGGCAATGCAGTATAATTTGACGGAGTTTGTAACTGGAATGAAGCATTTTGTCATAACTACGATGACTAGTTCATCAGCGCAATCAACAGCTCTGATGACCCCCTCTCCTTATACGGAAAAACTTTTGAGCTTGAGGAAGAGGGTTAGGGATCGCGAATGGGGGCAAATTTACACAGAAGTCAATGCAATTCTCAGAGAATTGATGATCACACGGGAGGATTTGGTTGAGAAGGCTAAAGGGTTTGCTGTTAAAGGAGCAGATGTTTCGCAAAAGTTGATTGCAAGTGGTGCATCTGTTCTAGGTGGCAGTGCAAAAATCATGTTCACTATCAGCAGTTCCATCATCTCTGGAGCTGCCGAGGTCTTCAATTTTGTATCTCAATTGATGGTGTTCTTTTGGTTTCTATATTACCTCATCACATCAGAATCTGGTGGGGTAACAGAACAAGTTATGTCGATGATTCCAATATCGAAATCGGCTAGGATTAGATGTGTTGAAGTTCTTGACAATGCTATTTCTGGTGTGCTTTTGGCTACAGCTGAGATTGCATTCTTCCAAGGATGTCTTACATGGCTTCTATTTAGACTGTATAAAGTACACTTCCTTTACATGTCAACAGTGCTCGCTTTCATCAGCCCCTTGTTGCCGATCTTTCCTCCATGGTTCGCAACGATTCCTGCAGCTGTAGAGCTACTGCTGGAAAGAAGATACATCCTAGCTGTGACCTACTCCATTATTCACATTTACCTTATGGATTATGGTGCTTCTGAAATTCAGGAGAGTATACCTGGTTACAGCGCATATCTTACAGGACTTAGCATCATCGGTGGAATGACATTGTTCCCTTCTGCAGTTGAGGTAAATTTTAACAGTTAATTTCCTTGTGTTTCAGTGGCGGATCCTGGATTTTTTTCTGAGGATGTTCACTTATAATATATATATTTATATATATAACTGTTGATGGATTTACCAATTTTATTGATGGAAAGGGTTTTCGGTGAAAATTTTTGAGGTGTCCAGAGAAAAAACTGAATAGATATAATCTAGTTATAACGGATCCGATCTATTGTGATGTTTACTATGATTTTGGTTGTTTTCATGGTTTGAAAACAGTTTCTTATGTAACTTTCTTTCATGTATTTCTTGATGCATATTGTTTTCTCTGCTGGCCATTGAGTTTGAATGGGTCTCTCCTTCCACAGGGAGCAATTATGGGACCATTGATCACTACTGTTGTAATTGCTTTAAAGGATCTGTATGCTGAATTTGTTCTTGAAGAACCAAAGAAAAAAGACTAGAAGAAGAACAGGCTTGCTTCCATGTGAAGAGCTTATGTATTTTAGCAAGATTGGTTCAAACAACATACAGAAATAGTTGTTCCAAGGACAATTCTTAATTTGCCATTGAAGAGAGCCTCAATCTGCATGCCCTGTTTACTCAATCTTTATTTATTTAGTACGATAATTCTTATTTAGAGTGGCACTTGTACATTGGTTATCTTGAAGCATATGGCAATTGTTATGTATCCTCGTTGTGTTTAGCAGTTTGTTCAAAAAGAAAGAAAATTGTACCGCATTTTTTTCTATATTTAACCATGTCAGAACTTATGAGGCCAATGTTTGAGTCGAGAGAATGTGTAATTCTTTTTTTATTTTTATCTGTACAATAAAAGTAAACTTGACAATTCGTGACGTGTGAAAGACTGATAATTCGTGTATAAATGTTATGTTTTACACGAAAATTATATATTATGATTCTTATTTATGTGAAAAATATAAAATATATATTTTTTTGTTTTTTATTAAATCTATATATGATATTTGCTAAAATCTTAAATCATGTCTATTTGTTTTCTTATCGTTTTTATGTCTATTTTGAATTAACTGATTTAACTGAAAGAAACATCATACGCTACCTCCAAAGAAAAGAGCTAATGAAACTAGTAGGACCAATTAGATAGAGTAAGAGATTAACTTCGGTGAGATTAAAAATAGTAATAGTTATTGTAACGATGAGATTAAAATTAATGGTATGATATGTTCGCATCAAATATGTATAAAATATAAAAATTATTGTGTTATAATTCGTGTTCACACATCAAATATAAAGCATATATTTTGATTTTTTCGAAAATCATACTCTTTTTATCTCTTTTTTTTTTGTCCATCTTTCATTTTTGGAATTTCTCAAAATTATATCTTTTTTTTTTGGGGTAACATCTAAAATTCTTATTTTTTTCATATTTTAAAATTATTTTTTATGAAAAATTTGTTTACTGTTTGATATTAAAAGTCATGAAACTTTAATTTTATAAAATATTTTAATTTTAATATTAAACATATTAAAATCAAGATTTCTTTTTAAAAAATTTCATGAAAATCAATATCGTCCAAACAATTTGGAGCAAAAGAATATGATTTTTGTTAAAATTTTAAGTCATGTCATTTTTATTTCTTTTTTAATTTTGCTTCCGGGAAGCATCTTGGTCATTGATTTAATAGGCATTTAGCTTCAAGCCGATCGTCATTTCGATGTATCAAATAACTCATCCATATTCTTGGACTACTGATAACTGCTTCTAACTTAGAAAACATATACAGTTTTATATCAGGATATGTTTAATCTGTGCTGTGACTTTTCATTGCTTCTTATTTCTTGGTACAAACCAGGCTGCATGTGCGTTGCTTATGCCAGGTGAGAATCTTGACAATCAAACTGATGTGAAGAATGTGGAAGATCTGCACCCCTGAAAATCTTATAATTGTATCTCATAAAAAATATTTATTAAATCTAATATTAAATCTCAATTTATATATTATAATAAATCTTCAAAATATTCTAATGTGAAATTGAAGTATCACATAACGCACTTGTGGAAATGGGGATCTATTTTCATGTACAGGTGACCACTAATTGCAGAACTAGACTTCCTGTTTTGACAACTGAGATTATGACAACTACATAAAGCAAAATGGTAAAACTTGAACATTTATCTGTGAAAAAAATTTCTAAAACCAAAATTTTTTGTTGGTGAAGCATCTTCTATCAGCTATTAAATAAGCAAACATTTTGCAATTGGAAACTTAACTGGTTAGTTCATGCAACCATCCTAGATATTCAGGTTCATCCCAGTGCCATCAGCTTCTGCTCTGAATTCATGAGCTGCAACATTTACTTGACAGATTTCTTGTGCAACAGATCGAGGTTCATCCAAGCAAAGCAGTACAGGCGGTGTTGAATTCAATTTTGGCGAAGATATACAAGAGGCAGTAGTAGAAACTTGAACAGAACACAGAGGAACAACAAATATGGTAGACTATGTTATCCAATTGCAGGGGAGTAAATGTCAGTCAGTACCTAATGACCTAGTCATTTGATGACTCTCATTTGGATTAGATTAATACAAATGGTAATTCATATATCCATATTTAAAAATTATATATTATAATTCACGTCGATATAAAAAATACGAAACATATTTTATAATTTTTATTAAACTGATGTATGATTTTTATTAAAATTTTAAATTGTGTCACTTTTATATACATAAAATTTGAATCAACAAAAAATTAGACACTATCCGATGCCTATGGTTACTCATCATCCTTGTTTATGTGTTTAGGGCCGGACATTGTTAATACTATTAAATATATATATTTTAATAGATATAATTAAAGAATCATTCAATCAAAAATCATTATTAATAGTTAAATTTTATTTTGATGAATTTATCAATTCTATAAAAAAATATATATTGTCCTAAGAAAAATTTTGAGAATGTTTAAAAATATTTTGTTTCAATTTTTTTTTTAATTTTCTAATAGGTCTGTTATTGTACTTGGTTCAACTTTAGTAAACAAACATGGGTTTCTAGTAAAAAAACAAAATTTATATGAAGTTTAAAGTTTTTTAGTAAAAATGAATAAATAAAAATTTTAATAAAAAATTTAAACCGATAGAATTTAATATAAAAATTAATAATATATAAAAAAATTATTAAAAATATTATTTATAATTCAAATTTAATCAATATTTATTTAATAATAAAAATTTTGTCAATATTTATATTAAACATTCTATTTAATAAATATATCAAAATTTATAAAAAAATTTTAAAATTTTGTACTCTTGATCAATGTTATGAAATTTTTTAATCTATCAATTTTAATTTTTAATTTTTTTATTAATTTTTAATAAAAAATTTTACGAATTTCACTTATAAAATTTGTGCATGTCTTTTCCTTCTAGTAAAACACATAATTAGGAGGTTGTGGAGGAGTTTGCTGGCAAATTCTAGGCAACATGACAGTAATTTTTAATAAGAAAGGAAAAATATAGAATTGGTTAGAAAAATAAGTAATTTTTAATGACAAAGGCAAAATATAGAATTGGTTAGAAAAATAAATGATTGATTGGGAGCCACGTTCTCAACGAATAAAACCAATGCAAATTTTTAGCATTTTTTGCTACTTTTTGTTTGTTTCTCACCTTGGTATTTCTCCTTTGGAATCAATACTTTATCTTTCTCCTTCCAATTGAAGAACCTAATAGATTCAGATCAAGAAACTGGGGAGATCTTCCTTGCCTTTTCTCTTTCCAATTATCAGGTTATCAACCTTGATTTTCATCTTTTACTTTGACTCTTTTTTTTTTTTTTTCCTTTTCGAAGATTAAAATTAGACGGGAATTAAAATTGGATCCTTCTATGATCAATGTCATGCATGCGTATTTGTTATATTAATTGTTTTTTGATAACATGATCATGGGTATCCGAAGTTATGGTATTAAAGATGTTATCTCTTTCATTGGTGCATTTAGAGTTATATTCTCGAAATATTTTTCATAATGATTGAACTCTCATCCATAATTTTCATATCATAAATAATTTTCAGTTGACCTAATATTTTGTAACAAAGATAAGACAATTTGAATCCAACCGTTACCTTCTCATCCCCTGTCCCTATAGACCAAAAATTTTTCTTTCTTGTATATTTTATAGAGATGTCTATATGCCAAGACTTGAATGTTTTCATTCAATCCATTGTTGGATTCTCCGACATATGAATTTTGTTCGAATCAAAAACTCGCATAATTTTTTTTTAGGTAAATCAATTTTAAAATGAATTAAATTTCGAAAATGATCTCATTTCAAGTAAAACTTCAATTGTCAACATTTAAAAATAGATTAGGTAATGTTTGTATTGTTTATATCTATTTTGTATTTAAAATATATAAAATATGAAAATTATTGTATCATAATTTATATCAATACGTTAAATATAAAATATATTTTTAAATTTTTGTCAAATTTGTGTACAATTTTTACTTAAATTTCAAACTTAATCGTTTTTATATCCATTTTCATATCATTTTTGTATTGTGTTATTGTATTATATTTAAAATTATCATATCTAATTAAAAGTAATTATTTTCAAAGATAATTTTTATGTAATTTTGTTCATCCATTGACATTTAACACTTCTATATAATCGTACTTATTTCTTATTGCAAATTATTGCATGTTCTTGATTTGAAGTTGCACCAAATTAAGAAATCAAGGCATGGAGGAAAGAGAGGAACCAAAGCCTCCAAAGATCAACCTAAAGGGCAAGAAGTTATCTGTAAGGGCAATCAACCTGGAGGAAATCAAGAGGCATCCAACGGTGCATGTCTCGCCACGAGGAACAGGGAACTCGACCAAGCCATCAGGCGCAAGGTGGAACTGCCTCTGCTCTCCCACCACCCATGCAGGCTCCTTCAGGTGCCGTCACCACAGACTTGCTGGCATGACAAGGGGAGGCTCTGTCGGATCAAAACTGTCGTTTCTTGCCAACTCCAAATCTGAACCCATCAGTGATTCGCTGCAAGCTCAGTAGCAGCTTTAAGGATTTTCATACGAATTACCACAGTTTGAGTACTTGAATGGTGTATTCATGGTGATGCATTTGTAATCTCGCCTGAAATGTATCAAACTAGTGGCAGATTTGGTCTTACAGGAGTTTTATTCAAGTTGGTTTATTAGAATGGCCAATGATAAATGGCATTAGACATGATAATTTAAAATATGATATGATAAAATGATATGGATATGATATGAAAAATGAATATAAATGTAATACGATTTAAAATTTTAATAATAACTACATATAAGTTTAATAAAATAAAATAAAAAGATATATTTTATATTTTTATGTCGATATGAATTATAATATTCTTATAAAATATAATATAAATACAAAATTTTAATATTTTATATAACACAAATAAACAAATTACAATGTTTAAATGACATTGTATGCACCCAAAAGAAGTGAAATGGTAAAATTAAACTTGATAATTTATGTATTTTTATTGTGTTCATTTTATGTTTTTATGTTAAATATATGTAAAACACAAAATTTAAAATATCTTAATTCATATCGACACCAATTTTGTTGGTCTAATCCAAGTAGTCTCTGAGGTGTTGACATTTCCATAATAGATCTGCTTCAAGCTTCATCCCAATAAGCCTGGAGAGACAGAACAGACAGTAAATTAAAGCATGAAATTCAGAACCTGAAATTCAATGAGCAAGATGAGAACACACCATAGACCAAAAGTTGCCGGAGATAGGCTTCATGAAAATAAATAAATAAAGGGTTAATATGTAATTTGATCCTTGAAATATATCACTTTTCACGATTTAATTTTAATAAAAAAATTCATAATTTGATATATCAATTTTCGTTCTGTCATAGCATTTGTTTCAAATAACAACTTTGTTAATAATATGCATGACATGGTAAAAAATCAACAAATAAAATCATAACATGTTACACATTTTTATTTATCAATATCTATCATGATATCATTTTCTTGATTTTTATTCATTTATTAAATTTAACAAATAATCATAAATAATATTTTTAATTTTATTAATTAAATAAATAAATCATGAATATAAAAAAAATTCATTTATATTTAATTCGTTTACATCTCTAATCTCAAACACATGCATTTATAATTTACAAAAACAAAATATATGTAAGAAAGGTGTTGTTTTAAACGAGAAATAAATGCAACTTGTGAAACATTGACAATAAGATTCCTAATGATGATTTGTACCTAAAAGTTTAATAAAATTGTTTTTTTCTCAACAAATAGGCTAATGAAAATTTCCCAAGCTTGAAAAAGCATTAACTTAGATTGCTGTTACAAACATGTTCCTAAATTAACTATTATGCTCACCAACATTTGTATTTAGATAGTCACGCAAAAATAATTAAGATATTAATTTATATGAATGTAATACGATTTAAAATTTTAATAATAATTATATATAAATTTAATAAAATCAAAAAATAAATTTTATATTTTTATATCGATAAAAATTATGACACATAATTTTCATATAAAAATAATACAAATATATAAATGGTCATATATCTGTTTTGAAGCTTCAACCAATAAACACATGCATTAAATCAACAAATAAAATCATTACACATGGCACATTTTCATTTATCAATATCTACTGCATTATCATTTTACCTAACACAGTTAGTCAATGGGGTAAAGTACTAGACAGAAGTAAAGCTAAGGTACCAAAGTGTAAATTTTTTTATAGGTATTAAATCAAGAAAAGTGATATAATTCATAGGCCAATTTTAATTATTTTTCCATTAAATTTGAAGCTTTTTATGTTTAACTTAGACAGTTTTAGAAAAATTGAAGTGTTGAATTTATAACATTATATATTGTCATTATGTTATTTTTACTTAAAGTTGTAAATAAATAGAGCATTTATCGAATAATTTGTGAATAAATTTGATTTCTATTCATTTATTAAATTTAATAAATGATTACGAATAATATTTTATATTTTATTAAATAAATAAATAAATTATGAATATAAAAAAATTTATTTATATTTAATTCATTTACATATTTAATCATAGTACATGCTATTATAATTTACAAAAACAAAATATATGTAAGAAAGGTACTGTTTTAAATGTGAAATAAATATAACTAGTGAAACATTGGCAATAAAATTCCGAATGATATTTGTACCTAAAAGTTTAATAAAGTTGTATTTCTTTTTTGGTAAGAAAAAAAATTTAAAAATAGATAAATTATTCAGTTTCTCAGATCAAAATAAGGTATATCGTACCTGATAACTTAAGATATGTGACTATAAATTATGTATTCGAAATAATTTTTATATGTGATTATTAACATGACTCGAATTTAATATCTCTTTATCGAAAAAGACGAACTTAATCAATTGAATTAATCACTTATTGATTAATAAAATTATTTTTTACTTTACAAATAGGCTAATGAAAATTTCCCAAACTTGAAAAAGCATTAGCTTGGATTGCTATTACAAGCATGTTCAGAAGTTAATTATTATGCTCACCAAAACTTGTATTTAGATAATAAAAAAAAATAACTAAGATTATCAAACAAATTAAAATCTGTTTAAAACAGCGTCGTTACGTTTCCTTATCTATATCGGGTTCTTTCTTTTCAGATCAAACGTAATAACTTTTTTAGATTTGATAATTCAAGTAATTATTTATATAAAATATTAATAATTTATATTTATATTTATATTTTATATAAAACTTATATATTATAATTTATAAAAATATAAAAATTATAAAAAATATATTTTTTAATTTTATTAAATTTATTTATAATTTTTATTAAAATTTTAAATTATATTATTTTTATATGTTTTATTTATATGATCTTCGTATCAAATTTGATTATCCTGTCTCCACCCATTAAAGTGTCAGCATCACGTGCCACGTAACGTAAGAAATTCGTGATTATCTGTTTTATTTATTTATTTGTATTTATTATTTTATATTTAAAGTAATTAATAAAAAATTCTTATTTTTCATGCCTGCATATAAATTATTCATATCTCTAGCTTTTTTCCTGCCCTATCACACCACCTTTCACCCAACAGAGCTTCGTTTAAGTCACCGGTAATTTCACAGATTTTCTATACAACCCCATAACACTCTTCCCATAAAAGGGTCACAATTTTTTTTTTCTCATAAATTTTTTTCTCTGTTTGTTTCCCAAGAAATTAAAAAGATTCTCTGTGAGCTTAAGTAAGTAGCTTTAATTAAAATTTCTGAGCTTCGATAGATCTGTTAAAGTTATATTTTGCAATTTAGTTTGTTTGTGGATTTTTTTTGTTTTTTGTGGAATTGATTAGATTGAATCCTGGTCAGGTTTCATTTGTAATAAAGTTATGATTTTTGGGTTTGAATTGGGCTTTTTGATGTGTTTGATTTTATGGGCATTTTATTTTGAACCATTTATTTTTGTTGGAAATTTCTGTTACGTATATCTTTCTAAGAACTGAAATGTGGGGGATGATTCAAGAGTCTTGATATCAGTTAGCTAACAAAGCTTGGTGATTTGTTGTCAATCTGTAACTTTTGTAGAATGGATGAAATGGGCAATTCTTTGTTGGTAGGAACACTCTTTTTGTCCTCTGCTTTGTATTCCATGATTCATGAATATGTTTTATGCATTACCTGATTGTATTTGGAGTATATCCAATGCTTGAAAAATGATCAAAGAGGAGTTGTTCTCTTATTTATGTGTATTTCCATGTGGGGGGGGGGGGGGGGGAGATATTATAGAATGTTTTTAAGATTGCTAGGACAAAAACATCAAACAGGCACTGATTGTGATCTTTGTTTGATTTGTAAAACAGATATTGATTTGAGTTTGAGGTCTCCGAGTTTACAACGGTCAGCATAATCAGGAAATGGTTAAAAGGTTTGTCCTGTTATTTGCCTTGAGATAGATTACGTCTACAGAAAGAATGATGTGAATGGGATTTCTGACTTCGTTTTGTGTTTGCCAAGGTATGGAGTGTTTTGATTTGCGGAGAATACCATGTTGCAGTGCATAGACGGATTGAAGCATTTTTTTGCATCTTTACTGCTATGCTGTGATATTGATTTGTACAAGCAATCCAGAGGTCTTGATGATCCAGAAATTCTTGCTAGAGAGACAGTTTGTATGTTACCATTTTTCTTTTCTTTTTAAGTAATATTCTTAAGCTTTTACTATATGCTAGAGTGATAGTGTCGATGCTTTTGCATGATTTAACATCTTGTTCAGACTTTGCCTTTTTTATTTTAGTTTTTGAGTTGTTCTACTGAAATTTGATATTTTGCTCACCTTGATGCAGTTAGTGTAAGTGAAATAGAAGCACTTTATGAACTCTTCAAGAAGATAAGCAGTGCTGTGATAGATGACGGGCTGATTAACAAGGTTTTTTTTTATTATTTTTTACTTCATGATTTATTATCAATCAATACTTTTAGTATTGGCTCTTCCCACTCGCCTTTTTAGTATTTGAGTTTTATTTTATATTACTATTTGGCAGGAAGAGTTTCAATTGGCATTATTCAAAACAAACAAAAAGGAGAGCTTGTTTGCTGATCGGGTATTTTTTTTTTTTATCTAATGTTAATTAATATTGTCTTCATACTTGATAAAGAATGCTTGTCAATCTCATCTTTCCAATTCTATGTGGTATTTTAACTCAAGTTATTAGCATTTTGCCTGAGCTGCTGTCAATGTATTTCTGATTTCACTGCAGGTATTTGACTTGTTTGATACAAAGCACAATGGAATTCTAGGTTTCGAAGAGTTTGCTCGTGCTCTCTCTGTCTTCCATCCAAATGCACCCATTGACGATAAGATTGAGTGTATGTATCAAATATTTAAGTTGTCTGCATCAAGGTCTTTGTTTGCCTCTTTGGCCATCAGTCATAATCACGTTAACTTGGTGGTTGGATGTAAACGACTGGCATGGAAATGGAATTATGAACTTAAGCACGTAGCAGATGATTTATGTCTAAATCATCTTTTCAGTTTCCAATTATCTATCTGCTGAGTACTCTGTCTTCTCCTAATTCTTTTGTCTTTTTGTAGTCTCTTTTCAATTATACGATCTCAAGCAGCAAGGCTTCATTGAGAGGCAGGAGGTTAATATTATGTTTTTCAAGTTTTGTCTTTTGAATTCTATATTTCTTCTATCCTTCTGTTTTTGCTGAAAGCAGATCCGGGGGTAAGCACCTGAGTAAATGATGGCCAGGAACAAAGGCTGGAAATGGTTCCGGCATTTGTGTCTGACACTAAGTCAGAGGACGGAAGAAGGAGAGGGAGAGCAAGAATAGGTTAAGGAATTCAGAAAATGAATAAAATGAGTGGCCCTTATTCTTGCTTTCCTTCTCTTTCTTCAATCCTCTAACTTGAGCAGTAGAGCACAAACACCGGAACCATTTCCGGCCTTTGTTCTTGATCGTCGTTTGCTCCTTTTAGGTGCTTACATTGGATCTCTTTCAGCACAAACACCTTTCCTTTGTTCATATTTTTTTTATATATAGGTGAAGCAAATGGTAGTGGCTACCCTTGCTGAATCTGGCATGAACCTTTCAGATGATGTTATAGAAAGTATAATTGACAAGGTGATCGCTCAATCTGATTTAATTGAAGTCATATCTCTTGTAATTTTCATTTTCTTCGTTCTAGTTTCTACATGTTAAGTTTATGAGCTTTATGACAGACCTTCGAGGAAGCTGATACCAAACATGACGGGAAGATCGACAAGGAAGAGTGGAGAAGCCTTGTTTTGCGACATCCATCCCTTCTGAAAAATATGACATTGCAATACCTCAAGTAAGTTCCAAATATACTCTCTTATCGAACACTATTGGCTGCTGAAGGTTACTATAAAAGACTTATTGTCAGTGATTCGTGCTCACCTTCAACTGTTCTCGTTTGTTTCCATGAATAGGGACATCACGACAACATTCCCGAGCTTTGTTTTCCACTCACAAGTTGATGATACCTGAAATTAGCAGTTGTACTCAAGCTTCGTAAACTCTTGATTATGGCTTGTTTCATTGTAGACAAGATGGCTGTTTCAAATATAGATGGCCCAAGAGTGAGTTTCTGTGATGTTTTGGTTCATTGGTTAAAAAATTTTTGTTGTGTGTGTCCATATTCAACTGTTGAACATTCTTCTCAGTGTTTTTGGTCGATTGGCTCTTCAAGGCATGCTGAAGTGTTTTGCTTGTATTTTTCTCTATGTCTATGGTGTTACAATGTAAAAAATCTGTGTCCATTTGAAATTTTTTTCTAACATAACTTGCAATATGGAATCCTTGTTGTCGATGTAAAACTTGAATGTGGCAAATGATCAAATCAGTAGCAGTTTCTGTGAGATTCCACCTTCTATTCAATTGCATAACTGGTTCTATCATCTAACTGTAAGCCTGGAAAATTTTTTCCACATCAAAATTAGCATATTGACGCGGAAAAAACCGTGGCAATACAGGAGATTTCGAGAAGCACCTAGTTTGAAAATAAGAGAAGGGATTGCAAAATAAGAGAAAAGATTGGAGATTGAGTTCTGAATTTTATATCGATTAGAGATATCATTATCTTATAAGAATAAATTAAACTAAATTTTGGATTTCATTTTTATAATGTTTTGAATTTAAATAATTGTTAATTTCATATCAATACTAAGTTATATCATATTTTTGATATTTTGATACCGAATAATACCGGCTTGCTTTGATACCAAATAATACCGACTGATTTCAATGAATTGGAACCGGTCTGCCTTTTTCAATAATCTCATTTGATCATTTGATTCTGAGAAGGGTAATTTTGATCCCTCACGCTCTTTAACTTTGTGTTGTTTATCTAAATACAAGGGAGCCATTGTACAAAACTTAGAAATTTCACAGCAAGTTATTAAAAGCTATATAATATTCCGAAACAGACAGCATTTTAGGAGTACGCCAAAATTACCAAAACCTCTCAAAAGGAGGCAGCAAAGAAAATGTAAAACCGACATTAAGATATTACCGCCAAGGGAACCTTCAAAATAAAATTAAAGTACTAAATGAAGTTCACATCAACATGGTTAAGCTTAGTCAACTTCCTCCATCTTGCTGCCCTCAGCATCAGCATCCTCCAACGGGGGCATTTCAGAATCAGCATCTGCATCGCCTGCATCCTCATCAATGCTCAAGCCCAGTTTCAACATCCTATGGATTCTGTTCCCGAAGGTGTTGGGGTCATCGAGGCTGAAGCCGGAGGTGAGGAGAGCGGTCTCAAAGAGCAGGAGAACAAGGTCCTTCACAGATTTGTCATTCTTGTCAGCATCAGCTCTCTTTCTCAGCTCTTCCATGATGGGGTTCTCGGGGTTGATCTCCATGGTTTTCTTGCTTGACATGTATCCAGCCATGCTGCTGTCCCTCAAAGCCTGGGCCTTCATGATTCTCTCCATGTTGGCAGTCCAACCATACTCACCAGTGACTAAACAGCAAGGAGAATCAACCACACGGTCAGAGACCACAACCTTCTCAACCTTCTCACCCAGCACTTCCTTGATAACCTTGCAAAGACCCTCAAACTTTTCCTTCAATGCTTCCTTCTTTTTCTTCTCATCCTCGCTCTCATCAAGTTTCAGACCTTCCTTGGTTGCAGACACAAGCTTTTTGCCCTCAAATTCTTTGAGCTGACCAACAGCATACTCATCAATAGCATCAACCATATAAAGGACCTCATAGCCCTTCTTCTTCAGCTTCTCAAGGAATGGGGAGTTCTCAACTGCTTTTTTACTCTCACCAGTGATGTAATAGATGTCATTCTGACCCTCCTTCATTCTGGTCACATAGTCCTTCAGGCTGGTCGTCTCATCACCACTCTTAGTGGAGTGGTATCTGAGCAATTCAGCAATCTTATTTCTGTTCTGAGAATCCTCATGGATACCAAGCTTGAGGTTCTTGGAGAAGGCCTCGTAGAACTTGTTGTAATCTTCCTTGTTCTCAGCTATTTCAAAGAAGAGCTCAATGCACTTCTTCACCAAGTTCTTGCGGATAACCTTCAAGATCTTGTTCTGTTGCAACATTTCTCTTGAGATGTTGAGAGGAAGGTCCTCTGAGTCAACAATACCCTTCACAAAGCCAAGGAATTCAGGAATCAACTCCTCACAGTTGTCCATGATAAAGACACGTCTTACATACAGCTTGATGTTGTTGGGCTTCTTCCTTGTGTCAAAGAGATCAAAAGGAGCCCTTTTGGGAACAAAGAGTACAGCCTTGAACTCAAGCTGCCCTTCAACTGAAAAGTGCTTAACAGCCAAATGCTCTTCCCAATCATTTGTAAGGCTCTTGTAGAATGCAGCATATTCTTCCTTGCTAATCTCCTCTGGCTTCCTCATCCAAATAGGCTTCTGCTTGTTCACTAAAGACCACTCATGTGAGACCTCCTTAATCTTCTTCTTTTTCTTCTCTTCCTTCTCCTTCTCCTCATCAACATCTTCAACTTTCCCTTCTTCATCTTTCTTATCCTCCTCATCCTCATCATCTGAAATCTCCTTCTCAGTAGTCTTCTCAATCCAGAGGGAAATAGGATAGCTAATGAATTCAGAGTGCTTCTTAATCAAGTCCTTCAGACAGCGCTCCTCAAGGTACTCAAGCTGGTCCTCTTTCAAGAACAGGGTGATCTTAGTACCCCTGCCAAGGTTCTCCCCGGAGGTGTCCCTGGTGACAGTGAAAGACCCACCCGCTTGGGACTCCCATACATACTGCTCATCATCATTGTGCTTTGTGGTAACAATAACTTTCTCAGCAACCAAGTACGCTGAGTAGAAACCAACACCAAATTGTCCAATCATACTAACATCAGCACCAGCAGCCAATGCCTCCATGAATTCCTTGGTCCCAGACCTCGCAATAGTACCGAGATTGTTCACCAAATCTAAACAGAAATGTAGTCACATTAGGCCCCCCTTTCACTTGAAACTCAACAACTAAATGATAAGAATTAACAAAGCAATAAAAATCACTAACCAGCCTTGGTCATGCCGATACCACTGTCAATGATTGACAGGGTGTTGTTGGTCTTGTCTGGGACAATGTGGATGAAGAGCTCTGGCTGAGCATCAAGCTTGCTCTTGTCTGTCAAGCTCTCAAATCTAATCTTGTCCAAAGCCTACAAGACCCAGTTTTAACATGAAAATCATTACTAATCACACACAAATGCCAATTCATTTCCATTCTGTTATGTATATAAGATCTTCAAAATCATTCTTGTTCACCCTTTTACACTCAATACATACCAGAAAATGAAGAAATTCATACTAACAACAGATAGCTTTCATTAAAAATTCAAGAAACAGATACTCAAGGCCCATTTCACACTTTCCTAAGGACAAAATTCATCACATTCAAACCAAATCAAAGGCTAAAAATATAAAAAAAGATAATATCTCATTTGGCCCCCTAAATTTTTGCACTTTTTCTAATATAGTACTTAAAACAAAAAATATTTCTACTTAGGTATCTAAATTTCATTTTTGTATATGAAGTTGCCCCAACAACTTAACATAATTAGAGCTAATGTGGCAATTAAATGTCTACATGAATAACACGTCTGCTATCTGATAATGATATGATGGCCACAAGTTATTCACGTTAACATTTAAGTAACACATCAGCATTATCCAACGGTGTTAAGGGATTAGGGTAATTTGATATTTGAAAATAAAATTTAGGTACCTGATTAAATAATTTTTTAGTTTAAGTGCAACATTAGAAAAATTACAATAATTTAAGAGCCAAATGAGGTATCCCAAACAAAAACTTTAAATAATAAAAAGTAACATACAAATCAAAATGAACAGCCAAGGAACAGAGCATTACATATAAACATAAGAATATATTAAAATCAAGAAAAACCTAAAATTTCTATCATACAAAAATAAAACAAACAAAACCCACCAACATCGGATGATTAAAGATCAGATCCGATGAATCATGCATCAAAAAGAGGTCTTTCAAAAGGAAAGAGAGAAAGAGGGCTTACATCGGAGGCGTTGCTGATGATCTCACGAAGAAAGATCTCCTTGTTACTGTAAAAAGTGTTGATAATCAAGCTGAGAAGCTGGTTGATCTCAGCCTGGAAAGCAAACGTCTCTGTCTCCATCGATGGATAACAGTTAACACCAGATCCCAAATCCACCAACAAAGAAGCGAAATCGAATGGTTAGGCTACGGTTAGGCTATTGTTAGGCTATGTTTTGAGCTTAACGATACTTTATATAGAAGTCTTCATTAGGGTTTCTAGATCCTTCTATCGATGATTTTTTTTTTTTTAATTTTATTTTAAATTTTGATTTTGGTTTCCTAATTGAAGAGGACCGATTTTGTTTTTCTAGATCCTTCTTTTGTTTTTATTTTTTTATTTTATGATTGTGTTTGTGTATGCCCCTGGGGAGTGGGAGCACGCGCGGTTTGGTATTGACACCTGGTCTTTATTTTTTGGTATTTTTATTTATACTTTTCTTGGCCAAGTGGGTTTGCTTTTTTGGTAGGAATTTTATTTTTCTTTTGACTTTTATTTTATTTTATTATAAAATAAAATACTTAACGTACAATCCAAAGGTTCGAACCAAAAATCTTCGAATTCAAAATGGTTCCTAACTCAAAATAATTAAATCAGAGGAATTCACAGTTTTGTTTTAGTTAAATTAATTAATCGATCAGTAAATTAATTTCAATTGGTTAATAAAAATAATTTTTAAAAAATCTTAATTTTTAGTTAATTCACTTAAAAATCAAATTACTTAAAATTTTAATCAAAATATAATAAAATTTAAATAAAAAAGAAAAATATATAAAATTTGTTATTTTATTTCATAAATTGTTAAAGGTTTTAGTATAATATTTTGATATTTGAATATTTTATTAGATAATTTTATTTAATTATTTTAAATTTAAGAAATTAATAATATAAAATTTAATTTAATTTAATATATTTATTATTTGTTTAATCTAAAAAAAAATCAAACAAATTAAATTAAATTCGATTAATTTTTAAAATTATTATTTTATTTAATTAATAAAAAAATAATTTAATTTAATTAATTTAATTTTAAATAATTCAATTCAAACTTAATTGGACCAGCTGAATGAACTCTCAAAATTAAAATAATTCGAGCTCAAAATTAATTTAATCTTTTTAATATTCAAAATGACTTAAACTCAATTGATTTGATCCATTCTCAGCCCGTTCAGCACAATTGACATGTCAAATACTTTTTTGATGTGGCATAAGCCCAATGACTATGCTGCTAAGAGATGGTTCAAAAACAATTACAACATCATAACTGATGAACCATGGGGTTGCCTCATCCATTACTATCCAAAAAACAGCTTTTCAATATCTTTCATTTGACAAAAGTTGTTTCTTTCTCAGAATGCAAGCGCTTTCATTTCAAACCATAGCTCAATTGTCTTGTGGTTTCCTTGCCGCTGTCTTTTCTGCTTTCATTTCTTTCCAGTTCTTGTTCTTATCTTATATATTTTCATGTGCAAGTTGTAGTC